AAGCGGGAGGGAGAAACCGGCCGCCTTTCACTCCAAGCCATGCCAGTGTTCTCCAAGAGCCCCAAGGTCTAGCGCAGTGGCCCTCAACCTTAGCAGCCTTGGACTCACTGAAATGCAGACCACCCTTACCAGAGACTCTAATTCAGCAGGTCTGGGCCCCCAAACCTGTATTTCCAACAAGCTCCCAGGTGGTGTGGGTGCCGCAGGCCTGGGGACTGCATGGGTAATCAGCGGGGCCAGGAGAGGACGTGGACAAATGAGGCAGAAAATGAGCGACAGGGCCCAGACTCAGACTATTACAAGTGGGACAAGGAGCAGGTTGGTGCCTCGATGCAGAGCCATGCGACCCTCCAGCCAGTGCTCGTTCGGTCCCTGGGTCCCCGGCTGCCTACCGTGCTCCTGCCACGTGTGTTCAGAGGGAGCGGGAGGAACAAGGCTCCTCCCTCCCTGCAACTGACGCTCAGTGGGAAAAAATGCAGAGTCATAAATTACATCCACTCAGCTGTCGCCACGGTGATGATGGACAACAGTGAGACACGAGGGGCCAGGGTGTCCCAACTGAGAAGGTGACATTTAAGCTGAGGCCTGGAAAATGAGGACTCCACCTCGAGAAAAGCACCCCAGGTGTCGGGAACAACAGGGGGAAGGGCCTGCAGAAAAGTGCGTAGGTTCCAGAAATTCTAGAAAATGTCAGACCGCAAGTGTGTTGAAACTGATGGGAGGCAATGAGAGTTATGAGATGTGGAAAAAGAGGTGGGCAGGGGCCAGATCACCCCAAGGTCTTGAAGGTTTTGTGAAGAACCCCGAAACTATCACAGGGATCACTTTGTAGGGTACATAAATCTCTAATCACTGTGTTGCACACCTGAAACAAACACAATATTGTACGTCCACTCTAGTCAATTAATCAGCTACTTCTGATCTTTAGCACCAAATGGGTTCCTTAACCTCCAGGGCACATTCCCGAGCCGTGAACACAGGAAAAGAAAGCAACAAGGAAGTTCAGCTCCGTAAGGCATGCTGGGAAGGAAGCCACCGTCATCCCTGCTAAGAACATGTGTGGAGCGACTTCAGAAGGTGTATCTTCAGTTTCTCCAACCTCCGTATGTGACAAACCCTCACCTACGCCTGTCCACAGGGCAGATCCGACTTTCCTGGGGTCAGGACCGTTGGCACAGCTTTGTTGTAGGGCCCCGAACGATAACCTCACACCGGAGTCTGCATCCCACTAGTGACCTACTTTCCTTGTCTCCCAGTAACCAGGGACCTTTAATGTCATTACCTGCCCGTCCTCTACTCACGGTGGGGAAAGGGAAGCTCCTTCTCAAACCTTCTTTGCAGGATAAACCCTAACTCACCATCGAAAGATGGCTTCGGTGTAACAGATGAGCAAAACCTGGTCCTGACGTTCCAGGAATTCACAGTCTATAAGGAATTACAATAAAGTAAGCTAACCTAAGTAATGGACTGTGTGAAATGCGCTAACAGCTTTAAACACTAAACATTACCCCAAAGCTGAAAGCACCAGCCAGTCCTTAACTTCTGCCTAGTACTTTACATAAAATATTAATAACCCTTTAAGGAAAATGGTGGAAAGCTGTTGAAGGCTCAGCAGGGAGAGGAGAAGGTGTGATTTTGTGACATTTGGTCTGTGTGGAGAACTGTCAGTAGAGCCGATCGGACCAGCCATGGGAAGAGCAATTAGGAGGCCACTTCAGTGGCCCAGGTGACAGACGGCGGTGGCCTGGACTGTGGGGGCAGAAGCAGAGCCGCAGAGCGAGGTAGATAGATCTGAGGGACACACGTGAATTAGAATCACAGGACAGGCTAATTAGCTGGGTGGAAACAGTGACATGGAAGGAGTTAAGGGAAAGGAAAGTATCGAGAGTGACACCTAACCCTTCATTCCCCCTAATGCATCTTGTCTTAGCTTCCCTTCCCACGGGGAACATATTAGAGTCTGAGGAAAGGGGGCAACGAGGGGGGAGGGGACACCGAGCCCAAGTGGCCAAGGAAGCAGAGTGGCCGTGGCAGGGAGACGGCGGATGACTCAGCACAGGTGGCCAGAGTGGGTGGAGTCTGTCACACTGAACGCATACATTAACTGAGGGGGAAAAGCCAGTAAACATATTTAGAATAACGGGAGCCAGTTTTCTCTTTGTCTGAGAAGGGATTTAACATCACAGAAAGAATCCGAAGGTACTGGATTACAGTTGGGAGTATCAGTGTGAATGCATGAGTCTTGTTCCAAACACGTAGTCATATATTTATATATATTTATCTGTATATAAGCACATGGTTTTTTCTAGTTCTGTGTTAAGAAGGCCAAGTTGCAGTGACACCCACAGCAAGCAGTAAGTGCAAAGAATACCCAGATCTTGGTTCCTCAATACCAAAGGCTCCTTGGAGACACGATGGATCCCAGGGCCAGCAGAAAGAAAACACAAAATTAGCCTAGAACATTACATGGTGTCAACAAGTAAAGAAAAGCTCAAACAATGATACAAATAGGTCAACAGAACACAGAAGCCAGCTTGGAGGGGTCACGCTGGCCACATCCAGAAGGACTTGAACATCTAACAATAAATCCTAACAGTGGTAGTATCACCCTAAAGTCCCCTGGATAAAATAGCCTTCGACGACCATAATGACACAGATACATACACACGTGTGCCAGAAAGGAAAGGGCTTCCCGCAACAGAACCCCAGCCGACACCAGAGGCCGGTCTCTGTACAACTCGTGAACTGTGTAAGAATGGTTTTGACATTTTCAAAGGGGTGCAGAAAACAAACAAACAAAAAGATGCCACAGAGACTGTGTGTGGCCGACAAAACACAAGGTATTTATTACCTGGCCCTTTATAGAAAATATTCGCCAATCTACCATATACAAAGAATGACACAAACGGGCGGTCACCCTAGGGCAGCCACCAGGGAGGACGTGGGACAGGTGGACTCCTCAGTGGTGCTCAGGAGGCTTCATGAGGAAGCACCAGACAAGCCCAGGGTGGGCCCACTGTGCAGAAGAAAAGCCCTGCATTCTTTAAAACTGTACATACGTGAAGGACACAGAAAGGCTGAGGCACTGTTTCACACGGGAAGACACTAAAAAGACACAAAAATGATATATAACGCACGCTACTGAATAGGATCCTGGAGCAGAATAGAAAAGAAGGACATTGGGAGGGGTAATTGGCAAAATTGCAAGAAAAAATTAATTATTTAGATGAATGCTAAGAACCAAATACAAGTAGCCCGAGATGAAAAAGTGAAATTTAATGTGTCGGATGAATAAAGGGCTAGAAAGTACAAGACTTTGGTGGGAACAACTGGACAAAATTTTGCCAAGAAAAAAAACATGCTGATATAAAGATAAATATGAGAACATTAACCCAATTAAAGCAAGACAAGTTTTGGGGTTTTTTTTTTTAAGGCCCAGGATTAAAATGGATGCCTTATGGTATGATTCCAAGACGCCCGGAGAGAGCTCACTGGTATACACTTCGTAACTAACTGTCTGTGACAGCTTCGCTGTAATGATTTGCACCGTAATTAGATTTTGGAATTTGGAGATCGTGTGGCTCCTGAAGCAGAGGTGTGTGTGTGTGCGTGTGCGTGTGTGTGATGGATGGCATATACCCTTTACCTAATGATATTCAGTGAGCATGATTATTAGTCCTTGATCTTTTCTTAGGTAAATTTAAGATAAGAACTGAAACATACCCATAAATATCCACAGGATTTGGCAACATCAAAGTCATTACAGATCACAACAGGATCAGCTTCAGTGACATTTTCAGGACAGATACCAGATTGGGTTGAAGATGAAATGGGCCAAAAAGGAGCAATCGTTTGTGACAATAATGCTTTATAAACAAGTATGGCTGTGCCAGAGGACGCGCGGGGGTGTGTGTGTGTGAGGGGGGCGCTTAGGAAAGAGCAAAAATAACCATTTGAGTTAGGCCCCCAAAAAGGTGAACAGGAAGAAGATCTGGGGCAACACGAGAGGCCTGTCTCTGACAGAGGAAGGGACGGCTCATCGATGGCGACAGGAGGGAAAGAACTGGGAGAGGGCAGGTGTGGGCGTACAGGGCAGGCTACCGACCGGGCGGGCTACTGACCGGGCGGGCTACCGACCGTGCAGGCTACTGACCGTGCAGGCTACTGACCGGGCAGGCTACTGACCCGGCAGGCTAAGTACGGGTAACTCCCACGGGCTGTTTCCATTTTCCTCCGGGAAGTAAGCAGGAAAGTCGTCCGTGGACCATGCGGTGAGGAAAGGACGCAGGAGGAAAACGGGGGTTGGAGGCTTAAGGAAAGAGGGGGGAGGGTAGGAAACTGCCACCGTGAGAAGCACCAGAATGAGCCACCAGACGCGAGCAACATGGCGAAGGTGCCACACAATGCGGACAGTTCAGAAGATATTAGTGATCAAGGTATTTCAACAGATTACGTGAGAAAGGGTTGTACTGCTTCAGGAGACTCCTGCACTGACACAACCATGCCAACACACCGTCATCCGTGGGTGCCTTCGTACCAGTTATCAGGACCATGTGAGCAAAGCAGGAGACTACCAACCGCAATACAAAACCTGGAAAGCCACAGAGGCCTGAAAAGGAACTCACTTGAACCACGTGACACCTCTATTTAATCTAAAACCTGCAACAGGGAGCTCACTGGGGAAGGAAGGACGCAGTACAAACAGATTGGTCCGAACCCTGCACCCGATCCACGGTCCGGTGTCTCCACTGCCACCTCCAAGTGGTTGTAAAACCGTAACGCCACGGGCCCACGAGGGCCTCACAGTTTCCTCACAACGCCAGGGTTTCCCGGGGCCCGTTTTGAAAATTCCTCTTCAGGAGAAAACCAGGTTATTGTCCTCACCAACTAGTTCTCTGAGATTGCTATTTCCTGCCTGCTCAATTAAATGAACCCCATAGCCTATGCAAACTTGGTGTTCAAACACACCCAAATAGACCCCCAAAGATGCTCCAGCTTACCGAGACAGCTGTTATCCTGAGAGAATCCACCGTGGAGTGTCTGAAGAGGTGCCACAGGGCAGGCCCGACTTCCCCTGTGATGAAGCCCTGGGCCTGGGCAGAGAAGGTGGTGCAGACGTTTTCGACGATCTTTGCGGCCATGTGATTCACGACACGTTCTTCCTGGGGAGCGGGGGTGCAGAGAACAAGGGGAAGAGAATGGGTATTACTCGGTGTGAAAACACGCATGTCATTTTCTCATAACTACAGCACACGAAGGCTTCATGCCAGGAGGACACTGCCTGCCCATGGATGTGTTGGGTGTCTCAGAAAGTATGATCGTTCTTTCAGGCTACTGGGAAACTATTACCAATAACCCAGCATGATATGACTCTATTTTAATAAGAAGGCTGAAATAATATGGAAGATAAACAACATAAGCATAACAAGATTGGACAGTCATTTTAAAGCCATAAGGAGCAGGCAGAATAATCCTAAGAAATCACCCAGGGCTGGGAATAATTAGTACAAAAAATTGGCCAAAGGCCGCCTACATAGGGGACACTAAGGGAAAATCCTAAGAAAGGCATAGCATCCGTGGGGTGACCAGACCAACCCTAAGGGCGGTTCTGGGTTGTCCTAACGATGCTGAAAGTCCAGCCTCAAAAGCGGGCAAACTGTTCACATGCAAATGAGTCCAAGGAAAAGGACAAAAACACTTAAAAGAATTCAGGAAAACTCCAGCACTGAATATAAAAGTCACAATGCCTGAAATCAGTCAAATATTAGAACATGTGCAAAGAAGCAGGAAAACAGGACTCAAAAGAATAAGAAGTCAATCAACAGAAATGGCACATGGCAGAATTTGAAGTAAAATATATTAGAATGGTTGTTATTAATATAGTCCATATATTCAAGAGGAAAACATAACATGATAAAGAGAGAAGCAGAAGACACAAAAATGACCCAAATCAAGAGGCTAGAGATAAGCAACACATCTTTCTATATGGGAAATACACTAGACTGGACTAACAGATTAGACTCTACAGAGTAAATGATCAGTGAACTTGAAGACACAGCAATAATCAATTAAAACTACCCAAAATAAACACGGAGAGTAACAAGGTTGACAAAAGAGAACAGAGCACCGGTAAACGAGGGACCAACTTCACACGACCTCCTACACACGCACTGAGAATCCCCACAGAGTGCGGGTGGTGTGGAAGAGCTGGAGGGGGGGCAGAAAAATACCATTTGAAAGAAATACTAGATGCAAAATTTCCAAATTCATAAAAACTCTAAATCTAAGAAAGTCAATGAACCCAAGCAGAAGAAACAAACAAAAACCACACTGAGGCAAATCATCATCAAATTGCTAAAAACCAGTAATAAAAGTGAAACCTTAAAAGCAGCTAGAGGAAAAAAAAAAAACATTATGTAGCAAGACACAATGATGAGGATGACGGGCGACTGCTCATCGAGAACCAGTGCAGACCAGAAGGCAGTGGAACGGCATGTTGAAAGCACCAACAGAAAAGAAAAAAGGTAAACCACGCCTTTCAAAGTCAAAGGTAAAGGGGGTGGGGAGATAGGGAGATGTTGGTAAAAGGTTACAAAACTTCAGCCACAAGACTGAATAAGGTCTGAGGATTCAATGTGAAGTATGGTGACCACGGGTGATAAGGCTGAATAATTGAAATTTGCTAAAAGAATAGAATGTAAATGTCCTCACCAAAATAGGTAAACACGTGAGGTGACTGAGGTGTTAACTAACTCAATGGAGGAATGCTTTCAAAATGTATACATACATCAAATCATCGCTTTGTACCCTTGAAATAGCTTACAATTTTATTTATTGACTATACCTCAATAATTACTTCAGAAAAGCATATTTCAAAGCAAAGAATATCTTTGGGGATAATGGCCATTTCACAATGGTAAAAGAGTCATTCAATCACAATGGTAAAAGAGTCATTCAGCAAGACGATACAACAATCCTAGATATGTATGCCCCTAACAACAGAACTTCAAAATATCCAAAGCAAAAAAATGACCAAATTGAGAGAATAGATAATTTTAGTTGGGAAATGCAATATACTTTCTTGATAACTGACAAAACAAGCAGGCAGAAAGGCAGTCAGGCTAACACTGTGAACCCATTCTGATACGTAAGTCTACTCAGAAAAAGGAGGAAACACATTCTTCTCAAGGTCACATGAAACGTTACCACATTAGAGCACATTCTGGACCATATGAAACACATCTAGGTCAACTGGATATTCACAGATGAATTTGAGATGAATCACAGACTTCGGTGTAAAAGCTGGAACCCAAAATCTTCTGGAAGGTATCATAAAGAGTATCTTGAGCCCTGGCTGGTGTGACTCAGTGGATTGAGCACCAGCCCTTGAACCAAAGGGTCGCTGGTTTGACTGCCAGTCAGGGCACATGCCTGGGTTGTGGGCCAGGTCCCCAGTAGGGGACACATGAGAGGCAACCACACACTGATGTTTCTCTCCCTCTCTTTCTCCCTCCCTTCTCCTCTCTCTAAAAATAATTAAAATATTTTTTTAAAAAAAAGAGTATCTTGACTATTCTAAAATAGGCAAAGTTTTCTTGGGTCAGGGAACAGGGAGAGAAGGCACTAAGAATAACTATTAAATTAAACTCATCAAAATTATGAATTCCTGATCATGACACCATTAAGCCTCACGGTGTCTTAGACTGGGAGAAAATATTTGCATTCCATACACCCTAAGTATCTGAGCATTTTATATGTTATATATCAATTAAAAATATTTTAAAATATGTTAAAGTATTATACGTGGAATATAATCTCATGTTTAACAAAAATGTGCATAAATATACTTGTAAAGGAAAGGCATAGAAAGATACAGAATACTTTGTTAATTGTGATTATAATCAGTGAGGGTTGCGTGAATTCCACTTTAAACGTTTGTACATTGTTTGGATTGCTACAGTATGTAGCAACCAACCCAAATTTATATATTTTTCTTTAAAAAATATTTTTAAACAAATGAGAAAACACTGAATTATATTCCTGTTCAAGCCACAGTGACACACCCCACCAGCTACATATCCCTGGGCATTTTCACCCCTGGGCCTCGGCTTTGTCATCTACAAAACAGAGAGCAGAGATAACAGAACACGAGCAGCCTGAAAATGAAATGAGACGACACACACGAATGCCCAATCTCGGTCATAAAGAGTAGTAAGTTCCCAATGCGCTAGCTTCTCCTCCTGTTATCATTAATATCACATAGCACGAATGGTGAGGCTCCCAGAGAAGACACTCAGAGATACCTGAACTTCCTCAAACTTGGACACATGTCACTTCTCAGGACGAGTACTGGAGAGAAGGCCTCCTCCCCTCTCCTGGGTTTCCCTCTATGCAGCTCGGATGCATTAATGCCACCCTCTGACCTCTCTGTTCCTCAGCACAACTCTACCCAAGGGGCAATAAAATGCTTCATCTAGTTGGCAAATTGGAAAAAAAATATGCTGGGCATGCTAAGAGCGCCACTCAACGCCTCCCCCTTTTCCCTGGGCACAGGCCCGCCCACCCAAGTTGTCTTCCCATACGCCCCCACCCCCATCATAAGTACGAGTGTTGCTACATCTGGGGGGTGCTAAGATTCCCTAATGTGGGAGTTCAATTTCAGGAAGGCTATAGATATGAGCTCTGTGCTCCCCCCTGGCTCTCATCACATACGCACATGCCATTTTCAACCCGCGTGCCTTGCTCTTTGTCTCATTTCTCGTGAGGTTCTGAAACGTTTCCCCTGAATGGGGGGGGTGCTAAGATTCGGGCCCTCTCAAAAACCTTCACGTGTGCTTCACACCACAACTGTCAGTCCGTTCGCAGACACTCCTTCCTAGGAGCAGAAAACCACAACCACTCGAGCGCCTAGGCTGAAAAGGGCCCGTGACCATCGCGGTGTTCGGTAAACTCAGTGGGACCGGCAGGCCAATTCACCTTCTTTCCCCGGACGAGAGCTGCCCCAGCCCCTCTGGGACCCCCTGTGGGACACTACACAAGCACTAAGACTGGTGCTATTTTCTGCTTAATTAACTCCTCGGAAGGGATAACTCAACTGAACTAATACCTGTCACTTAAATCAAAGACCCACTTCATCATATCATGAGGATAAAAGCTATGATGATTAGAAACGGATCCTATGCAATAAGCCTATGATAATTAGGCTTTTAATGAATAGCTGTACTGTGTTTTAATGGTGTTAAGTAGATCTAACGTATTGCAGGAGGTCTTGAAAAAAAAAGTTGTCTGCCAATATAATTATAATCTATATATGCCTACTTTTCTGAAAAATAATAAAATTAACACCTAAAATAGTGACATTGGTTATTTTCACATTTGTAGGTTTAGCATAACTAAGATCCTTCTCCTAAAGGCTTCAAGGTACTTGGAGTTCATTTTACACAGTTTATTAGTAGCTCATGCAGTCAAGGTAATAGGATTTTTAGTCCTTACAATGCAGTGAACTGGATTATCTGGACAACTCTGTCCCTCTAAAAGCAACCGAGATATCTACTAACTATTACTCAAAACACGTAAAAGCAAAATTTGACAAAATCGCAATCCTACCAGAGGAGGCAATTTAAACACACATCTCAGGGGCTGAAAACACAGACAAAAACCAATTAGCACAGATACAAAAGATTGGTATCTGCATCTCTCCGTCTATCAGATTAACAAGCTTGACCGAATGGGCAGAAAAACCACATTACCCAATATCATTATTTTATACTTATTAACAATGATTTAATAACAATGCACATGATATCAAACATTAGTCTTCATATTATATATACAATGAAAACATGAGATGGGGAGGAGAGACAATATGCAATAAAGGATACAACCTCATGAACTATAATCAATCATCTTTTACTAGGCATTAATCTAAGTTTTAAAAATTAAAGATACCGTTTTTAACATTTCTCTCACACAATGAAAAGAATTCCTAGAAGACTCCTTTTTCCTCTGCATTCCCCTATTTTGTTCTTTTGCACTGACTTACTTGACATACTATTCCACTTTGTATTTTTATCTTTTCTCCCCCATAGACAGCACTTGAGTGCAGACAGAAGTGTCGCCTTCCTCATCTGTGAGTCCCCAGGTGTGTCTAGCTGGAGGCCTTAGCTGATACCTACACATGTTTTTTGACTACATATAAACATGACTCACCTGTCGAATTATTGATACAACAAAATTTACTGGCTTCCTTCATGCCCCTTAATGAAAACTGACTGCACACCAGCCCTACGGGCTAGAAAGTGTTCAAACTTCGTTTCGGGATCACTAGGGGAAAACCTGGCAGGGCGTTTTACACTTGAAACAGTATTCCATTACCATGTAGTAGTAACGACTCAAAAGGAAGATGTTTACTGTGACATGGGTTTTTTCCCGTTCCTTAAGGAACGTTTTTAGCCTATGGCTCTGCCTTGGGTGAAATCGTGTCGAGCAGTTTAAAGCAGGCAGGGACTGGCAACCCTTTTAGGTCAGTCACTGAACCTTTTACGGAGTCACACACGGGGGCTATGGGTACCAGTCGGCTGCCTGGCGTTCATCCAGTAACAGCAGCGTCGGAAGGGACTCGAATAAACTGAAAAATCGCATCGAGTAATAAGTCCTACTTAACATTAAAATCACTGGATACTAGTGGAAACTTCTCTGTTTCTGAACCTCAAAATGGCACCCTGACAAGGTAACCATGGAACTTTTGATTTGGGGGCTCACGGAAAATTCTCCGCTTCCACCTTGCTCACCAAACTGTAACTCTCAAAGGCAGCAGGGGTGGGGGAGGGTGGCAGGATTAAGAGTACACTATTAAAAGCCATTTATGTTGTTTATATTTGCTATCATTTAAAAAGCAAGACATGTAAAGAAGTGAATGAGAAAGCAGGTTCCTTTTTCCACCTGCTCTGCAGCAGGCCACTGCTGAGGGCCCCTTGTCGGGACTATTTAAATTCAGGAGCCATACCTGGCTGACAGGCGCCCGCACCGCTGCGGGCTACCATCCCCACTCGGTGCCTGCAGGGCAATCACCAGCGGGCGACTCTGCAGGGACAAGAAAGGAGCCTTACCCCTTCCCGAAGACACCTCATTAGCACTGTGTACGCCGCCACGGGGACAGCCCAGCATTCTCTGGGGCTCCTTTTTTTTTCTTCCTAAAACGAAGTGGAAGAAAAGGCTGTGAGGCCAACGGCACAGAAGATATTAACCCATTCGAGAGAAAGGCAGTTTCAAATACACAAACTGTCTACCTCTTCTTAGTACTCTCTTTCAAGTGCTGTTTACCACCTGACAATTATGATCTGATTAGGGGTCTCCTGCATGGCACCTACACGGGACACAGTCCTCCTATTTCTCATTATGTCTCAAACGATGTTGATACGGTCCCCTCATCAGAAGCAAGAGGAAGAGAACTGAGAAATGACCACACGACCTGGTCGACAGAAAGACCCTTCTGTTCATAACTGTAGATGACGATACAGAACGACTTGGAAGCAGAGAATCACAGCTTCCGTAGTAGCTCAGGCAAACCCATAAACACAAGTGAAGGGCAGAATGTCACCTGTGGAACAAGGTGCTACAGACGCACAAGCCCTTAGAGCAGCAGGTACACTTATTTTAATCATGTCAGCGGCAATTCTCCCACAGAAGAACCAAGTTAGGGTAATAACCACAAGAACACGCCTGCAGCATAGCAAACAGAATCGCAAAATGAATCAGGCGCCGGACAGAAAGGTGAAAAAATGCCATCTCTCTGAAGCCAAACAAATATTTAAGAGTGTCCAAATGTCAGAACTGGTACCTCCCAGATCCAAATGTACTGCACACCAGTGTTGGGGACTGTGACCCGTTCAGACTGGGCCCTCATCCCAGAGGTCCACGCAGGTTCAGAATCTAGACATCATCACAGCAAGCTGCTCCAACTCCAAAATCACTAACTCGGCACCCAGTTTAACTTCCAACTTTCCTCCCCTCCAGCTCACTTACTCAGAGTGTCAGCCCACAACCTTTCTTTGACATCTCTGGAGTCTGATCCTCCTGCCCCCACCCCACCCCTTTGCTTCTCCCCAAAACCCCCGCCCTCCACTGGCCTACCATTTAACAGGCTCCTGCCAGAAGCCCAATCAGACTCTCCACTGGGCGTTCCCTCTCCCTTGCCTGGGTAAGCTCACCCTTGGAAGGAGCCGGGCTCCTTCCCTCCAGGCCTACACTCAGGGAGGTCCCGAGAACACAGAGAGTCGGAGAATGACTCAGAATCAGCAAGCCCAGGGACCTTCAACATCACTCTCCAGGCCTAATTCTCTCTCTCCAATTCCCTCTTTTCTTCTTCACAGAGATCAAAGACGTTGAGAAAGGAACTAACTTACCTACACTGTAGCTGTCCAGGAACTAACTTACCTACACTGTAGCTGTCCAGGAACTAACTTACTTACACTGTAGCTGTCCAGGAACTAACTTACCTACACTGTAGCTGTCCAGGAACTAACTTACCTACACTGTAGCTGCCCAGGAACTAACTTACCTACACTGTAGCTGCCCAGGAACTAACTTACCTACACTGTAGCTGTCCAGGAACTAGCTTACCTACACTGTAGCTGCCCAGGAACTAACTTACCTACACTGTACCTGTCTGCTGCTACCCAGTGGTAACAGGACAAGCTCCTGTTTAAACATGGCCCGGGGTCTCATCCCCATCCCGCCTCCTCCAGGGTCATTAGGTTATAGACTAGCCCGTATTGTGCCTAAATTTTCGATGTCCTATGCCCACTGCATCCTTTCCCTTTCCACTAGAACAGCCTCGCCATCTCCCACTTCCGAAAATGGGCCCTTCACAGCCCCCGGTCCCCCGCACCCCAGCCCCGCCCCTGCACACAACCCGGCTGGCTCCACACCGACTTCTTTCATTTCCTCACTGCCCATTAAATCCTCTGCACAGTCCAGTCCGATTGTCTCCCTCGCTGCAGTTAAAAAACAAAAACACGTAAGCATATAAAATAGCTCTGGTCGTGGTCCTAGCAACTTTCTGGTCACTCCATGCAGTGCACGTTTCCTCATCCTTTTTCTCGGACCATAGGGTGTGTCCACTCAGCCCCACCGAGTTTCTCTTTCCTGGAACACCCTTCTCTCCCAGTTTTGGTCCTACTTCGCTTAGCCGCGCTTCGGTGCTCAGCATCCTCCCTTAGGCATTCTCCAATCTATAGTCCTCATTTGAACCAGAGTAATCTCCTTGGCATTTTAGCAGATGACATCGTGACCCTTCCTCAAAGCCTCCATGACTTCCCCTTGCTCTTATGATCAAGGCGAAGACATCCAATGTGGCCTAGGAGCTGCTCACGACCACGTGTCTGCCAGTCTCTCCGGCCCTGCCTCCTTGCTCACTTCCCCTGGGTCCCACTGGCCCTGATGCCATTCACGCAGCAGGAAAAAGGCTCCTACTATGTGCCGGGAACTCTTCTAGACACAGACATATGAACACGACAGATAAATTTACTGCTCTAATGGTGCTTAGTGGGGATAGACATTTCAGAAGCAGCAGCAGTAAACCAAACGGGTAAGACGAGAGAGTGATGGGTGCCATAAAATAAACACGGCAGGCGAGGCATCAGAGGACGACTGTGGACGGGGGGCTCCATCACACAGTGCGTGGAGCCAGAAGACCCTCTGAAGGGATCCGTTCGAACAGAGAGAAAATGCAGACAACTGGGGAAACGCAGCGAGCAGGGGGAGCAGCGAGTGCGGAAGCAGTGCGGGCAGGAGCAGGGCGTGGGGGCCCAGGACTGCGGGCAGGGCAGCGTGGCTGGAAGCTGGGAGGGAGACGGAGCGAGTGGGGGTGGGGGTCACACGGGCAGTGAGAGGCAGCCTGCAAGGGCCTGGAAGGCCACTGGAGGGATTTACGGCACCGAGCAGGTCGGGAAGCCCTGGAGGGCTGCGAGGAGTAACACTGCGGCCTCTCCTGTGTCCCCGACAGGCTCGCTCTGGCCCATGTCTGGCCGACAGACTTCTACGGACACAAGAGTGAAGTAAGGCGACTGTCCGGGAGTTCTTACAACAGGTCAGGTGACAGATGATCATAGGCTGGGCAAAAAAAAAAGTGACAAGAATAACTGGACTCAGGTGGAAGGTGTTTCTGACAAAAGAAAGAAAAAAATACATAAACTGTATCTGTATTGCTTTATACTGAGGTGGCCAAAAAGCCCATTACATTTTTTCCGTACGACGGCTCTCATAGCGCTTAGTTGTCTTTAACTTCATTCAAAACAATTTTGTTAGATTGTGTTATGACAGCTGTCATATCAGCGTGCATAAAAAAACAATTTAACAAACTGGTGAATTTTTGTATTTTAATATTGAAGGTGGCAGAAAATACACGACATTTTCAGCGTGTTATGCTTATTATTTAAAGAAAGCTAAAAACGCAACTGCAACAACAAAAGATTTGTGCAGGGTGTGGAGAAGGTGCTGTGACTGATGGAACATATCAGAATTGGTTTTGAAGTTTCTTGTACTATTGACATATTGGCCAAATAACCCTTTGCTGTGGGGCCGTCTCATGCACTGGGAGATGTTCAGCAGCACCCCTGGCCTCTACCCACTGAGAGCCAATAGCAGGAGAGAGCCGACATACTCAAAATGTCCAGATCAGTAAAGTTATTGGTGCAGATGAAGAATGTGTCTTTTGTTTCATAGAAAAAGGGAACAGGCTCTCTGGCCAGCCCAGCGCTTCCTCCAAAGATCAACGCCCACCTGGGGTGACGCCAGCACATCGGTAGGACAGGGCTGAGGTCTCTACCACCCGCAGCATCACTGCGGGTCAGTCTCACCAGGGCCGCGCTGACTTGAGATTTTAAGGTGTACGTGTATTCAAAGTGACAACCCCACAGAAGCCCTCCGCTCATGAGAAAGTCAATTTTCGTGAACTCAGGGACAGGACTCCCTTCTCAGGTCTGCTACCATAAGATGTGGTCAAATGTCGCAGCCACAGACACGGGCTTCACTGAAATAACCTCACTTATATCCAATTAGAGCAAGAACCAAGGAAAATGGTCCTCTAGATCTATTTTTAGAAACAATCGGACCGTGAGGCTGTGTGATTCCACTCATGCCAGGTTCTGACAGTGGGCCTTGTCTCCAGGACAGCAGGTGAACCCACAGCTGCCTGGGGGCAGGAACGGGACGAGGGGAAGCCGCGACAAAGGGCGCTGGGAAACTTCTGGAGGTGACAGACGGGGTCATTATCTCGATTTTCGCAACGGGTTTTTGATGCACGTTGATCAAAACTGATCGAGCTCTAATCTTTAAACATGTGCAGTTTACTGCGGCCAGTTAGTTACGCCTCAGTAAAGCTGGAGGGAAAATTTTTACTTTAAATAGAACCAGAAAAAATTAGAACAGACTCATAGCTTTAATGAAAATATTATTAAAAATATAAATGTAGGAAAATGTCATTTCTTTTGTACACTGGAAGACAAAAATACCATAAATATACCAATACTTTCCTAATGGACTGATACGTAATCCAAATATACATTAGAAGGCTCAAAAATTATAAAGACATCAGTCCTTCCCAAATTAAGCCGCATATTCAATGCAATTTTTTTTTAAATGATTTGCAGAACTGGACGAGCTGGTCTTAAAATTCACCCTGACATGCGAAGGGCTGGGAGCAGCCTGGACACTTACGAGAAGGAAGCACTGGGAGAGGCTCTGCTGTATCGATGCCAATGTCAGAGCTAAATGATTTTAAATATTGACATTTTATAGCCATCACGGTCGTTGTCTTAAAACGTTGATTGTACAGAAAGTCCATTTAACTTAGGTACTAAGGACTCGCAGGTAATATTAACACTTAAGCAAGTTCTAGCACCAAAATATCAGAAATACAATGAGACTACCTGATTAGCTTATGACTTATCAGTGCTTACTTAAAACTCCCAAGAGTATTAAATGAAATGAACAACTCAGTACCAATATCTACTCGATAATATTCTAAAAGTACATTAATGAAACATTACATTTTCCCTCATTGAATTCAATAGCCCTTCCATATTGTAATTTAGGAAATAAGTCACACGTTCTTATGGCCGTGTTAAGGATTCGAAGACAGCAGGAAACAGCGGGCCACATGTGACCCAGAATAGCTGCGGATGCAGCCCTGCATGAAATCGTAAATGTACTGAAAACACGAGATTTTTGTGTGATTACGTGTCACACGGTATTTAATGTGGAGCCCAAGACAACTCTTCTTCCAGTGTGGCCCTGAGATGCCAAAGGGTGGGACACCCCTGCATGAGTAAAGAAGGCACTGGGAGAGAGAGAGGATGACAGACAGACAGACAGACAGACAGACGGAGAGAATCACTGAGGAGTGATTTTACTCCTAAGCTCCTGAGGCAGGCTCTACGGGGCAGTCAGAAAACTCTCATCAACGTCCGCAGGGTGCGCAGGCTTGTTAGCCAGGACACGTCAGAACGTGTCAAGGAGCAACGGAGTGAAGCAGACGGTCTCACCTGGGTGGCCACAAGGTAGATCAGCTCCCCGAGGGTGGGTAACAGGCACTGTTTTAATTTGCTGTTCCTGAAGTTTTCCCTAATTAACTCAGTCAGGAGGGTAATTGCCTGAAAAGAGAAAAAAAGTCCATTATTTCATATGTATCTCTCAGTTCTTTAACTTACGTATAAAAGGCAAGACATGCTACAGAATTCACCTTCCATTTTTAAAAACTAGTTTCCAAATTATTTTAGAAATATGAGCCTTATTCCCAAAAGAAAAAAAGTTACTCTCTCCTATGAAGGTACAAATATATCCAGTAAAATAAACTCACACCCAGAGAGTGCTCATCAGTGACCGAGCACTCTCACTGTGGCGCTGACCCGGTCAGGCGACTGCTCCCCCCCCTCCACAGACTGGGGACGCAGGTGGGAGGTCCAGCAGCTCCCCACCCGGGCCACCCCGACGGCCAGGGCCTGAACACCGGTGTTGCCGGGCCAGATGCCTGGCACCCCACACAGTGGGGTGTACGTCCGGCACACCCCACTTAGGAAAACTCTTAAACTCTGCATTAAACGTTCCAATGAGTCCTTCAAAACACTCTGAGAGCAGAAACACTACGCCAAGGTTTCGATATAATCTACTTTGAAACTCGGCAGCATTTATCAAGTGTCATTCATTTCCTAGGAGTCATGCTAAGAAAACCACAGACACTCATTACCAGAGTTCACACACAAGGACACGGGTTCATGACACGGTCCTGTGACCAGGAAGCAGGGAGAATGGTTTCAGAGGGACACATGGACAAGGGCCCCGCTCTGAGACGGAAATAAACATGGGCGAGACAGTGTGGAGGCCCCGCTATAAAATAACGTGGCTCCAAGTGCACGGACAAGACTACTTCTCACCAGCGGCAAAGACAGCAGCAGGAACACTGAAAGAGAGCGCTTCTGAAACTTGAGAGCAATTTGACAACAAGAGCAGGGAGGGGCGGGAGTCCCATGGGGGTCGCTGCACAACGGCCATGCAGTGGAAGAGCCCGTGGATGGTAAACAGCTTTACTGAGCCACAACTGACGCACCATGAACTGCGTCTATGGGCAGTGAGCACCTCGACACAGGTGGCGTATGTGTGCATCTACACGTCCATTACCACAAGCAAGCGTTTCCTCGAGTTCCTGCGGTAATTAATCCTATCCCACTCCCTTTCTCCCCTCCCCAGTCAGCCACCCATGTTACCACCTGCCATTAGTTCACATCTTCCAGAGTTTATGTAAACGGGACCATATACTATGAATTCTCTTTTCTGGCTCCTTTCGAGTGACAGAATGCATTTGAGGTTCACTCAGGTTGTAGCATGTACCAATTGCTGATTCTTTTTCATTGCTGAGTAGTATTCCCCTCTGTGGATATGCCACGATGTTGAAGTCTCCCCGCACACCGCCTTCTACAGTAAATCCTCTACGTGAAACGGCTCAGAAGAAAACAGGAATCATGCATCTCACCTTGGCCCTTGCAGCAGGTCACTTCTATACACGGTCTTCCTTTTCCTTTGACCTCTACTAAACATTCTCTAGTATCACATTGAACCCTCTGAAATTAAGAATGTTCAACCATTTTTCTTACCTACAAAAATAGCCATTTGTCACCCTAAAAAATGGCTGAAGAAAGTATTCTAAAGAAGAAACAAATGATAAAAGAAAAAACCTTGGAATATCAGGAAAGAAACAAGACTGCGGTAAGTAACAGGCAAAAAGACAGAAGTACAATAGGCTCTACTTCTATTGAATTTTTTAAGTTATGCCTGATGGTTGAAGCAAATGTAAAAATGTCTGATTTGGCTTTAAATTTACTTAGAGGATATACTTAAGACAATTATATAAAAGTGAGGGAAGTTAAAGTGTTGAAAAGAGAGGTAAGTTTTCTATACTTCACTCAAGCTGGTAAAATGCTGACACTGATGGACTGTGATGAGTTACGTGTAATTACACACGGGTGTACTATATGTGTGTTATGTATGTGACACCTACAGCAACCACCAGAAATCTACACAAAGAGATCTCCTGTAAAACACTAAAAATCAAACTAGAATTCTACAATAGTTCGTTACCTCACACAAAAGCAGTAAAAAGAAAACAGAAACAAAAAAAACGCAGCAAGAACAAACAAAATGGCAAACTTAAGAACAAACATCAATCATTATATTAAATGCAAATGGTCTAAATGTTATAATTAAAAGACAGAGTTGAATTTGTAGTATCGTCCTGCTGGCTGACAGAGGGGAGTGGGCAGGTGATGGGTGGAAAAGGTGAAGGGGACTATAGTCAGTAATACTGTAATACCTCTGCATGGTGACAAGGTGACGACCAGACTTGGTGTGATCACATGGTAAGTCATACGAATGTCAGATCACTGTATTTTACACCTGAAACTACTGTAACACCTAGAGTTAAATTAAAAAGAATAAATTCAATACTGAAAAATCAAAATGAAAATATGACCCAAGTATGTACTGTCTACAAGAAACTCACATTAACTATACTGCTAGAAGCAGGCCAAAAGTAAAAGATAGGAAAAAATACATTCTGGAAGCAGTAATCAGAGGAAAGCAGGAACAGCTCTATTAACTTCCAGGAAAGCAGACCTCAGAGCAAAGAAAATCACCAGATACCAACAGAGTCATTACATAATAATAAAAAGGTCAAACCACCAAGGAAAACACACCAATCCTAAATGTGTACACACCAAACAACAGGGCTGTAAAAATATATGAAGTAACAGACAAATCCACAATTGTTGTTGTCAATTTCAACACCCTTCCCTCAACCGCTGATAAAACAACTAGGCAGAAAATACGCAGACATCAAAAGGATACAACTAAAACAACACAAACCATCATATCTCACCCAGTAGAAAATAGATAATTATTTGCAGATGACATTATTGTCTTCAAAGAAAATCCCAAGGAATCGAAGAAAAACTCCTAGAACTAGTAAGTCAGTCTGACAAGATCACAGGACACATTGTTGACATTCAAAACCAATTGTGTTTCTACATGTTACCAATGAACACATAGAAATTGATAAAAGTATTATTTACAATCACGAAAAAAATTAAAGACTCAGGTGTAAATCTAAGAAAACCTGTATGGGATCCGTATGCTAAAACCACACAGTGTTTTTAAAGAAATCAGCTGAATAAATGGAGAGATGAATGCCGTGTGTTTTATTTCCTGTATATTATACTCTGAAGTCCCTAACAAGAGCGCCCTGGCTGGGAGAGGCAGCCATTCCTGAACTGAGCCAAGTCTCGCAGGGGGTGAAGGGCCCACCCAAGAGCATGGCTTTGACAGGCTAACGCAAGGATTCGGGGCCACGCCCCCTCTATCTGTCCCTTATGCCCAAACAGTCCTCTGCCTTACTCACCCCAGGGCCAGCTGCCATGCAACTAAAGACTGTGTCTCTAACTCAAAAACCTGTCAAAACCATTCAGACCAGCCCATCCTCAGCGGTTCGCCTGCCTGGCACGGCCTTCTCCCCCACCCACAAAATCCCAGTAAGGGCCACAATCTAAACCACACCCACCCTGCCCCGCCCAGGGCTCCCGCCTCCCAACCACCTTGCTGGTTTCCCAGGTGGCCCTGCCACGCCCCCTCTCTAAGACCTGTGTTTCCCTGAGCCGCTGTCTCCTGAGTCACCACCTCACACGCAAATACAAAATGACACAGCAAAAACGTCCATTTTCCCCAGTGCGATAGGTCCGGTTGAACAAAATCCCAATCAAAACCCCAGGAAGAATTTTGTGTGGCTGCTGTCGAGATTACTCTAAAATGGATATGGGAAGGCAAAGGCATTTAAAAAGCCAGAACAATGTTGGAAAAGAAGAATCAAGTGACAGAAACTATTCGACCTGGCTCCAAGATGAATAATAGCCCTACAGGAATCGAGAGGGCAAGGCCTGGTGGGGGCGAGGGCACACTGATGAGCAGTGAACGCAGGGGCAGCTGCACCCGAGCGCCGCCCACTGGTTTCCGGCAAAGCTGCGAGGGCGAGCCAATGGAGCCAAGTCCGTCTTTTCAACAAGCGCTGCTGGGGCGGCCGCCCACACCCACGGGGGAAAAACAAAGCAAAAGCCTTGGCCTACGTCTGACACTCTACACCCAATAGTTACCCAAAATGGATCACAAACTTCCACGTAAAACATTAAACTATAAAAGTAGGGGACAAAACACAGGGTCACATGTTCAGAATCTAGGCCAAGGTGAAGAGCAGACTCAATGCCAAAGGCACAGAGACGCTGCACCAGAGGGCAGGGGGCCTGCGGATGAGCAAGTGAACACCGTTACCAGCCAGGGGAAGGCGCGTCAAACCACAAGGAGACGTGGCTACCAGCCTGTCGGAATGGCAGGAACAGAAACAGCAACACCACCACCTGCAGCTGAGGGTGGAGAAACAATCAACCACTCACACTCCACTGGTGGAGACAGACGATGATACAGCCAAGGGGGAAGGAGTTTGTCAGTTTCTTTAAAAAGACAAAAACAAGAAATACTCCACGGACCGTGCAGTTATCTTAGGACCCGTTCCACTGCACTGCTGAGCATTTATCCCAGAAAAATGAGAACTGTCACCAACAAAAAAAATTAAAACAACAACAACAGTACATCAAGGTGAATAGGAGCTTTATTCATACCTGTCAAAACCAGCAAAGACCCAGGTAAATGGTTAAACTGTGGCATCACCATAGTATGGAATATGATTATATAATAAAAAGGAACCAACTACCAAGATATATACTAGCTTGGATGTATCTACAAAGAAATACACTCTCAAAAAGTTATAGACTATATGATTCCATTTACACAACACTCTCAAAATGACAAAAGTATAGCAATGGAAAAGAGATTACTGGTTGCCAGCGGGTGGGGGGACAGGGAAGAAGCAGGTAGAAGGAAGTGGGCGTGGTTTGAAAGGGCGATAGCGGGACCCCTTGGGGTGTCGAAACCACCTTCACTGTCTGGATGCCCACGTGGTGCTCGTGAATATTGCGCTATTGGCCTCCAGGACGTTACCTTTGGGGGAAACGGGATGAAGAATACGCAGCATCTCTCTGCGTTATTTCCTACCACC